GATGCGCTCACCTGGCCCATTAATTACATCAGAGTAAAATAACAATAAAAATTGAACAACCAACCAATTGATATGCATTTCTAACGAGATGAAAAGAGGGGAAATCTACACTACATCGCATCACCCCAAAACTTACTAGAACGGGTGCAGGAAGGCGTGTCGACTTTTCGCCTAACAGCCAATCTTCGTGGAGGTCATGTAGCTCTTGGAGGTAGCCCTGTAAAATAGAGACTATCGCTTAGAAAACACCATGTGCACTTGCGGCAGCTTGGAAACGGTAGATTGTAATATACAGAACAGATAATAGGCGACTCACCATGGATATACTCTCTTCACCCTTCCGGCTTCGTTTTCGGATACGCTCAGCACAAATTTCTGGAGTTGATTGGAGATATACTACTCATGACAAAAATTGCACAATCATTTTCATTTGCAGAGTATTCGACAACAGCATATACCATGTAGCCTACCAATGAGATCCAACTTCATCACTGGTAAATGACGGCTCCACTCGTAGCATTCATCTAGCACTTGAAAATCGCCATCACTGATTAAGCCACTAGATAATTTAACGGAGCGAAGTTACTCAAAGATATACAGGTAATTTTGTTTACACCGTTAAAGAATAAAAATAACCTCTTTTTAATTGCTTCAATGAAGCAAAAACGATTGCTGTGGATCGATCGTTCAATTAGTCGGATGGGTGATTTCTATAACGAAAAAACGGTTTCCGTTGGTATAAGCCCCAATGGCTCTAATGGGTACTACATCAAATGTACTCACCCTTGGCTGGGCCAATTGATTAAGTAAAGTCACCATAACTTGGGCACGAAAAGGGCTATTATATTTCCGCGGGTCACTGTAAAACATTTCCTAGATGCTTGTTGAACAAATAAGGAACATACGAATATGTTATGACCCTTTGCGTCTCTCCACTGGCCAATCGGTTCAGGCATCACCTCAATATCTGGGTAAATGCTCTCGAAAAAGCGCAGAAAGGTTGACTTTCCACATCCAATATTTCCTTCAACTGCAACAGTAATTTCTCTAATTGGATTAGAAAAATTAAATTTAATCAACTACTTTCCATCCATTTGAAGTGACAGGAACCGAACTGGTAAATGTGTTACTCAATTATTTATTGAACCACCCAAGGCAGTGCATGAACCAATCGCAGCAGACTTTTTAAACTGTGTGGGAGATGCATTTAGTTGGTTCTTGAATTCATTCTAATCTTTTGAACAAAATTCAAGGATATTTTGCAAAAAAAGTCTTTAAACATATTTTTACTGATAATGTAAGGCAAATTACGCCCAAAAAACAAGAGTTAATAATTTATTAGGTTACTTTCGTTACGGTAGTGTCAAAGGTAGGAATCCAAATGATTTTCCTCGAAGGAATTTTCGCAATTGTATTCGTCAAAATTTGTTTTATAATATACGTAAAACTCTATCTTTTTCTATACAGATTTGTTAAACCATTGTTTATACTGTACAATTTTATAGGGATTGTAGTTTTGCGTATATTTTCCGACTAATATTTTGTATCTTCCAGTTATTGTCCTAATCGCTACAATTTCGGATAATCGCAAACCAAATTTGCTGAACTAATTTTGTATGCTGTTCTTTAATTTAACCGCGGATTTCCATTTCTGATAATGTTATTTGCACTGTTTTCCGCTTTAAAATGAATGACGACATCGACCCAGTATGTTTTAACAACGAGTTTAGTTTTTGAACAACATTTTTTTGGAATCGGGGCTCACTATGGTAAACCTGTTAAAGGTTAAAAGTGTCTAGAACTCAAAATGGTGCAATTAGAAAGGTCAAAATGGTATTTCTCGCTAAAGATTGTCTGTTGGTATTGAGCATAATCTTAAAAACTTTCCGAATATCGGGATTAAGAAATCTAAGGACGATCGAATGTCATTCTACGCCTTATGTAGATTTTTACATTCCGCTGTTATTTACAGAACAAACGACAGTGAAAGCTGCTTAACTTAGCTGCTGCAGTTTTTGAAAAGGTAATGCATTGGAGTCCATTTGGCAATGCACTATTTCCAATGAAGAAACTGGTTTTAAAGTCGCTAGGAAATACTTAAAAAAGATATTTGACCCAGTCATAATTGCTGTTCTAGCCTTTCTGTATGATTTTCCTGACGGACCACCATCAAAAGCTGGCGACACCTTGGTCTAAATTCAAGCTATTCCAACAGGTTCAATACCGTGGGACGATCTTTGCTCGGTTAGGTTATATCTCTGAAATAAATTCCCATACTGCATAGACTTTCAATTTCGCTGCAAATATTTGTGATTGGATAATTAATTAAAATTTGTGGAAGAACGGATATATATTGCGACCAAATCAATGTGAGATCAAGCAAGACGTCGTCAAGTAAATGTGAACGAAAGGAACACCAGCAAGTTTTACCAACCTGGTCATCCCGTTTTGCCTCGCAATCCCCTCTGAGAAACTGCTCACTTCACAGACAGATGCAAAAATTCACTTACTTAGGACATGAAAAAACCTTTGTCAGTGACTTATGGGCTTAAACTATTGTCATCGCTGTTTGAGGGCCAATGATACATGTGAAAGTAAAAAGAGCATAATGCAAGCAACGTATTTGACGTCTACAGGTAATGTCTAGAGCTGAGTCCGATTTCGGGGTTGACGCCAACTTTTCAGCCACACGCTTCGGCTCTCGGCATGTCAACTCATGACAACTTGTGATTCAAATTCACAACATAACAACAACTGACCGATTGGTCAGGATATTTTTACCTGGAAAAATCGATGTACATCGCGATATTCACGCGAATTGACTAGCCGACAACAAAATCTCAACATTTTTGTTACTCAAATGCCCTTTCGTAGCTTTTGGCACAAGTCCGTAAATCTTTTTAGCCCTGATGTGGTGTCCATGACTGCCAGTTCACTAACCACTAAGAGCCTTGTGAAATTGTGTCCGTTTGGAGGTGTACAACGCGACACACTCACGCTGAACCGGCAGTCAGCAGCAATCTGAGCTCTCAGAACCGACTGTCAATGCACCTCATATCAGTTAGTACTGTGGTAGTTTGCGCCTCAGCTGCGTGTGTTGTTAAGTACTCGAGGAAATAAAGTTGGCTGGAGCAGCCAGTAATAAAACCCACCCCTAGTGTCAATAAATGTGCGATCAAAGAGGAGTAACACGAACTGTACTTTTATCTAATGTGGAATGTGAACAGAGATTAAATCACACTTCATCAAACCCAGTAATCACGAGGTCTGCGACGACGATTGTTGGAGTTCGCATGACTCTGCCTGTGCTTTATTCTCACTGACAGTTTACTAAAAGTTTTTCGAGATCACGCTTCGCACGTAGTGATGGCTGCTTCTGAAATACCGGCCTCTGTGCCTTTTGACGAATTTGCCTTCTTTGTGACTAAATTCACTAGCGATCGTGTACAAACACACATCTGTATTCACGCATTCTCCGACAAAACCATGATTCACCACAAGTCAAACTCGGAAACGACCCACATTGCTTCGATCATCTTCTGGTGTTCTTAGTCGATTCACAACAATTACCCGACATTCTAAACCAAATCCTGTCTGATTCAATTATCACGACCATTATCAGACATGGAACATTCAACGCAGTTAGGACAGCTATTTTAGTTATCCTGGTGAAAGCTAAGGTCTGTAGGTTCATCGCAGCGAGAAGAGACGTTGATGGCGACCACCGCGTCCACGTGGGGTGGATGCCGGATCGGTCTCAAATGCTCCGACCAAACATGAGCCAACTTCAATTCAAGCGACAATCTTGAATGCTCTCCACGTAGCGACATTTGTTTCATAGGTCAAATGTCAAGCTTTCCTATTTCAATCTAGGCCCTGTTCTTACTGCAGCAATAAATCCAGTTAGCCTTGCCTTGTCTTTGGACTTCACCCTTCGTGGAAAGAATACACGTCCCCCGGTCCATGCTTGATCACTAGAATTTGCGCTGCAAACACTTAAAGCCTCCGCAATTAGCTAATTTTCTGCACACACGCATCGGTGCATATTAACGAAGGCTGCATTTTCTAGACATTTGGCATTCTGCGACCTCGTTCCTAGTGCAGTGTCGACACTCTGGGGACTCTGATCTTGGTCATACATCTGCTCAAATTGTTCACAGACAAGTATTCGCCAGTAAGCTGGGTCCTACCTCGGCGGTGACCAATTGTTGGCTTCCTGGGGCCAAGTGTCCAAATTTTTAGCTTTCCAGCTATCCTTTCGGCACTAACAGAGGCAAGCGTGATGTTGCGGAGCTAGTCTTTGGCATTTAAACACTGCGAACATACCCACCGACACATTTGCTTATTTGCCTTGCTGAATTATCTTGTTCGATTTATTGACATTAGTGCCTTTCGTGCGTGCGTTCGTGCGCATTTTACTTCCACAACACCGCTGCACTGATGTGAGGCGCTTGTTGTTCGAAAAGCACCCATACCACTATGCATGCACTCCGTGGTTCAGAAGTATGAACAGAGCTCCGGACCAGCTTGTGTGAACGTGCCGGTAACTTTGGTGGACATTCACAACATTAACTATCCAGTTTATGATTGGGCCACAGATGGAGATATCTTTGATGAAATGTTCACCCGTGGAATTGCTAAATTACTCGAATGCCTTCTAAACGTTAAGGTAGCTGAGAATGGTATCTTGCTTTGATAGCCTCCTAGTCCAGTTTAAGGGTGAGTGTTCATGCTTGTTTCATACATTTATTGCAAAACGGTTGCCGCTTTCTCTACCCATTGCCGTAAGATTTGTTGTTTAGGCTAACAGCACATAGCTTCTGCTGTTTCTACCCCCAATGGTTGCTCTTAGATTTCTGCGGTGTATCGTGTAGTGCTTGAGCTGCTGCCATTTACACAAAAATCTCTGACCACAAATCTCAATTTTAGCGACATAATTCTATTTTAATGTAGTTCCGCAGATTGTGAAATAGTTAGTGCTGGTTCCTCTCACTTGAACAATGAACCGTGCTCACTCTCTCGCTGATGATGAAGTGAATGATTCTCTTGCGTTTGAGATACATTCCACACGTTGTGATTCGTTGTATCACACCAAGTCGTGTAGAGCAGTTATACAACCACAGTGTGATTTCGTCATGGCTTTGCCTGTGTGCTCAAGGAAATTCTCGAATGTTCTCAAGTGCCGTCAGTCGTGAGCCACTTCTATTTTGAACTGGCACATTGTCACACACCAAAATGACAAGCGTTATTTGCTAAACTTTCTTTGATTCCTTCGATCTAGCTGAGCCTTCAATCAATAACTGACCGCACTATGAATAAAGATGTAACCTTCTGGTAAAACAGCCACTGCCTCTCACGAATTCGCTGTTCGTCTCACTCAAGCAGGCGAATATAAGGAGCCTGGTTTCATTGTCGTCTTGGAGATAGAACAGAAGTTTCTAAGTTCACATTTTTTATGGACAGTACTTAAGTGTCTTCTCTCAGCTTCTCCTTCCTAATTTTTAACCACTAAAACCCTCCTTTTGTGATGAGTGTCCACCCGCTGCTCACTTGGGATTTAGGTTTCCTCAAGTACATAGAGGCCGCAGCTAATCGATTAATAATTCTTTCATTCTTCCTTACAGCGTCCAGTCTTCAAGTAGACGTCGCCATTCTATATTCACCGACAACGACTCCACTCTGCCCGTCCAAAGAGGTGTAATCTGCTCTATGCATATTCCGTCAAAATCGATTACAGGCACACCTAAGAGACTGGTTACAACGACACAACGTGAGCCTTCTGAATTGTGGCGACCGGCTCTCCCATACCGATACACCCACACTCTTCTCGCTCGCCCATTCGTCGAGGCGTTTTATGACTCTGCCTCCGTGGCAGACGTAGCTGATTGGTTGTCGCGTTCGAAATCGTTGACTCCGCCACAGAGCGGTCACACAGACAATAATTTCGCAGTTATTTTGCCTACAAGCACCCGCAAAACCGCTCTTCTCTTTGTACACGAGCTCACGTGCATCCAGCGTCTGGTTTACTGGCACATTGTCTGAGCAAATCCAGTCAAGGTCATAAATGTTGCGAACAACGGGGAACTAGGTGTCCTGTGTAGAAGGTGTGTTTACAATCAATAAATTTAACTCCGGAGCAGTGATATACCAACAAACGACCAAAGGCATAATCCACTCAAATAATTTCTGCAGCACACCTAATGGTCATAATTTAAGATCGCGCCACACGAGCAAACCAGACCAATAAAACAACGGTGGAGGCGGGACACAATCAATCACGTCCAGTGCTACTAATGAGCGTCAGTAAGGCAGCATAAAACGCCCAATGTTGCACTAGCATTTCGGGTTTATGATTCACCCTCAACCAAGCATTTTTTTTGCACAAATACTGTGAAATGCATTTTAACTCTTTTTTAAATAAAAATGGACCTTGATTATGTTCAGCTCAGAAATGAAGGAATTGAAGTCTGTAACCTGAGGTAATTTCCCGAAGTTAGTCGTCCACTAGACCGCTGATATGGACCACAACAGAGCCGAAACTCTGGCGTTGAAGGCGTGTAAAGTGCACGCCTAGTGGGTTTTTTACATGAGGCTTCGATTCCCACAACTAAGCACGAATTTCTATCCAACCATTGAGGCGCTCTGGTGTGTCTGTCTGTAGTCGAAATAACCATACAGCAAGGGCCGTGTGAAGTCGCTAAAAATTCCTTAATTTAAATGATTACAAACTTTAAGGTGGCCGGACATTTCGCCATGAGAACGAACAATAAAGTGAAAGAGGATGGGGTGTCGTTTAACTCCACTTTCACCTGCTAGAGCAACTGCAGCAGCACCAGCGCACAACAGATAGGTTATGATCACACATCCTCAAAACTGTTTCACACTAATCGACTGGATTAACAACATCGTTTGTCAACGGGTCTTTTTCAAACCATGCGAATGCGAACCTATCATTAAGCACTTTTTCCTAAATGAGATGCTTCTCTGTTGGGGCTTTTTCCCTTTTACGCCACCTTACTTTAAACAATATTCACGTACGGCTTGGATTTGAAATTTGCAAAGTCCTCTTGATTTGACGTGAGGAAATAAAAGGAGTTATGTTGAAGCTGTCACTCGATCTAAACAAGGCTACGATGAGGCGCCGAAACTGACTGCATTGATGCCCTGTGACGCGGTAATATCAGCTGTCTGGAAGCGTAAAAGGTTATTACACTTGTTTTTTGCTGAAATTCCACACATTTGGCACGCGCTGAGGACCGCTTTACATTAACTGATGGCAGTGAGGCTCTTCTTGCTGATGCTAATGCCATTATTTTACTAACAGTTCACATGAGTCATGTGTGTGTTTGTAGTTCCCAAGGCTTGTGATGATTGCGCGCTATTTTTAGCCACCATGATTGGCGGAGAGTGTCTGGTAGCAGAAGACCACTTATTGGATATAGGGCACTCGTGACGACAAAGATTTTGACTCCACGTTCAAGTTACCATTGAAATCGGCTTGTGCTATTGTTTTCAGGGGCAGCCTTAAGAACAATCTATTTGTGGAGTACTAAAAAGCAGTTACGTGACAAGCTTTTGAGGAAGTTGCAAATTATCCGGACTTTTTGGCGAGGGTTTTTTAGCGGTAACTGGTGACCTTCGAATTAAGCATTCCGTATTTTCATGCTGCACACATGATATTTACTCGACCAATAATGTACCATTATCTGCGCAGTAATACAAATTTTACTGACCACGACTGGAAGTGATACAAATATCCGCAGTCAGCCTAATCACAGTATCACAGCAAAACAGGAGAACAGAATAATAAAGATATTCGAAGTGAGATTATCACGAAATAATTGCAATAATGAAATGTTAGTGGTAGGTATTAGATGCGAAATTTGGGATTCGGCATCCTAAATCTTGATTCCACTGAAGATCTCGTCTCTTCGGCCATAATAAGTTGAGGTCACCTTGTCGAGTGAGTCGGTACTGTCGATGACCTGCAATAAATATTTATTCTTGGTTTGTTATTACTAGGCAAAAAGAACCTCCATATGAGTTAATTAAGGGGATGTCTGGGCTTCATGTGCAACGTATGTAGCTGGAAAACATTTAGCTCTACATTCACAACAAAGGCTTGCAACCACAAACCGGACGTTCACCAACTAGCAGCTTCAGTGGACGCTAAAATGTCCTTCTTTTTAACTCAATTTGTCACAGCATTGGAGAGAAATGCTTTGTCATTTTCTCACAAAACGCCATTTGAGTAGCCACACTATTAAGTTATTCTGTCTATTTGGCAAGTAATGAGCAAACGCGTCACTGCTGATGCTTACAAATTTAAGCGTATGGTCAGATTATTTGAGCTTACGAGGACTGGCACGGGACAACGCTTTGGCTTTCTACCTAACAGCCAATCATCATGCAGGTCATGAAGTTGACGGAGATAGTCCTGTACAAAATTGAAACACGAGAAATTAAAGAAAGCGTAAAAGTCATGCTTATGTTGGCATTATACTTCAGTGTCTATATATGTTAAATTTTAAACATAAGTGAAAGCTGTGAAGGTAAGACATGACTAGCAAACGCAAATTTTTAGCTTTACCATTTCAATCCACCCTTCACCCTTTCGGTCGCGTTTACGAATGCGCTCTGCGCAAACATCTGGTGTGGTTCGAAGATATACTACAGAGCGTATTGGACCGCATTAACATTTACGCTGACACAAAAAACATATTAAGTGTGAAATTAATGTACCTATGCGATCCAATTTCATAAATGGTAATCCACAGCTCCAATCGTAGAATTCCTCTTGTACTTTAAAATCACCCTCTGAGATCAAACCACTAGGCAAACGAAAGAAAGTATGAAAAAGCATTCAGGTGCATATACTTCATTATATTGTATTAAATGCAATATAACTAACTTTTTTCTCAGTGCCTCGGAAAAAACAAACTGATTGCTGTGAAGAGAGCGCTCAATGAGTCGAACGGGAAGTGTCTACAAGAAGAATAAAAGTTTCCTTGCGTAAACCAAACCCACCTTCGTCTACAACTTACGTAAACCTACCTGAGGCTGGGCCATTTGGTTAACCAAAGTCACCATAAGTTGGGCACGATAAGGCATGTTCCACCTCAAACGGTAACAATAAAACATATCCTTTACACATGTGTAAATAAACGAGTATACATATAAATCGTAGCCGTTGACGTTTCTCCATTGATCAATTGGCTCAGGCAACACTTCAATAGCTGCCGATGTTTTTTTAAAGAATTCTAAGAATGTGGTTTTTCCACTCCCAACATTTCCTTCTACGGCCACTGTAACGGTTCTGTACGTAACGCTGAAAGAAAAAAGTGTACGTACCTTTTCTCCATTAGAATATTATTAATGTTTGTTAACCTAAAAAGTATTCAACGATAATAAAAGAAAAAAAGAAAGAGATTTATAAAAAGAGCTACCAAATTAACTAGATTAACATTGATCTATCGTTATGTAATATTCGTGTGAGTCAGTTAAACAAACATTCAAGGTTGTTGCAATGCGACATTAAAAGTAAACATATGACTTTGAAAACTAAAATAGTTTTTTCGTAAGAAAAGTAAACAGCTATTGAGTTATCTATTTCGGCTTGCTTATGTGGTCATCGTATAAAGTAACTGTTTGATTTGCGACTTCAGTATGTTTTAACTTTTTACTTATTGGCTATGCATTTCACAAATAGATTCGATGGTAGCTGTAACCCCTGCCGTCAATTGCATAGTTTTGTGGCAGATTATCCAAATAAATGCCATAGGATGCTTAACAAACCAAAATTTTAGAATCTGGTTATTCTCAGAAATAATAACTACTATTAAGAGCTATTGGCAATTACCAAAAATAATTTTTTCTACGTGTCTTGCTGGAATTATTTTCAACAAATACTACGGTTTTACATGTTTCTAGACCCCAGTTTCGGTCCAAATGCTATTTCAAGCAGACTCCTTGATCCACAATAAATCAGTCGCACACCAGAGTACTTAGTATTAATGTTTCCGTCATAATTTAACTTGTAGGATTTAATTCTTCTTTTCTTTACGTTGTTCAAGACAATTGTGTCAGAATTTCTGGATTCTAAAATGTGGGGTATTCTGCAATACTTATTGTCTCACACTTATTTTTTTACTAAAATCACACAACTTGGATACTTATGACCGAAAATTTGACCTCGACTGAGCTTACGTTAGGAGTCCGAACCTGTCGTTTTTATGCAAGAGTCGAAATATTTTTTTCATTCAATGTTTGAAATTGCTTAAATTGCATACAATTATGCCGAAGGCATGTCATATTCTTCCTCTACCATCTATATCGAAGAACGTCGCAAGTTCTTGGTCACGTCAGCCTAACGAGTTATAGCATATTAAAAATATTATTTTAATGAAGTGGAGCGCATTGTGCAGTTCTAATAAAATTTATACTAGACCAACATCATCTAATGTACACATCCTTTATAAACACTTTTCGACGTTGTACATGCTTCTAACTTTGATTATTCTAATATACTCAGCTTCTAGTTTTCTCTATTCGGCATTTAAGTAAAATGTAGTAGTTATCTTGATGTGCACTTATTTTAATGAAATATTATAGTTTAGAGAGCAAATCTGAATTCACTTTTTTCCTTATATTACAACTGATTTTTCTGCCGGTGTAAAAGTCGATCATATGTTGCCTACGTGCCTATTCAGCAACATTGGCAACGCGTTGTCTGAACTTGTAATTTATGCTTGTCTGGTGAATACGTGAATAAATGGTTTGAATGGGACTATCGTCTGTCGGAAGTAGTCACATGAGTCAACCAGCCTCCAACTGGGCCTTCTGTCTCCATTAGGCTCATTAATCCGCTGGAAAAAGAATGAATGGCATGCAGGAGCATTCCAGTCACATTTTTTTTTGTTTTAACAAAGTGCAATAACTACATCCTATTTAAATAAACTAAAATTGAACACTGAGACTCTCAACAGATACGCTGCAGTTATAACAAAATTGGTTATTAAAGTGGTAAAAATGCGTTTCTTTAAATATAATTGCTGACTGAATCCAAAATTTGGTTCCCGGTTTTGACACACGGCTGAAATGTGTATTTTTGGTTGTGTTTCTGTTTCTTTTATAAACATTTTACAAACTCACTGCTACACAAATGCACTATGGGTTATAAGAACCTTTTAAAAGTTTGGTTAAATGTAACTTCCTGATTATGATAAACAAGGTGGATAAGTAGGAGTTACTTTTTCGTCATGTAATGTTATGTGAGTGCAACAAACTGCAACGAAAAAGGCTCAAGGCGCTTGCACACACACATACACGCACACGGAAATTGGATATGTCGGTTCAGCAGAATTTGACAAAACAGAATAAACCAATTGATTTTGTCACAGCCAGTTCTCTTCTCGTCCGTCAACAAGTGTAAGCTTAATTGGCCTTTTTTATAACTGGAGATGAGAAATGGCTTGTGTATGACAACAGAATAAGAAACTGAAGCGAAATACATGAAAGAGAAAGATCATAATTTATGGCAGATTCTGTGACGAAGGAATAACGGATCACGATTGTGCTGACAAGTCTGTGCGTGCACTCGTGTGTAGATATCTCCCGTGCAGGTCTGTGGCTTAGGCTTTTAAAAAAACCTTGCATGTGGACACGCTGATTCGACAACGGAATCAATTAGAGTCATCAGGCAAACGATTAGGTATCGTCACCACTGGTATTCTCGGGTCCAGTCAGATCGGGCCTGAGATTCATCCTTTTTTCTCCTGTCTGAGGTATAGCAGAGTGAGTGCGTGTTCGTGCAGTTCTTTGGGACCAAATTTATCGAAACAAGGTAAATTGTGGTGAAGTTCTGAGGCCAATCGGAACTATGAAATACTCCGCAGAACAAATGAGGCTCTCCTTTCGGAATCCAGCCCCCCACCTTTTAGGGAGTTGGTCTATCAGTACCCTAAATGTCCTCGTAAAAACCTCCCGAATGCCACTCTTTGGTCATGATGTAAGTTCGAACCCGGCATCGGTGATGAGCAGTACCCGTGGCTTTCCTAGTTGGAACCTTTTAACGGCCTCTCAATGTACATTGAGAATGAACGAAATGAAATACATGTCCACATTTGTCAAGCAACGACACAATATGCCGAGAAAATCCGTGCTAGTTATCATAAAAGGCGACATTGTTTGGCAACCAATCGCCGTTCATCACCGGACAAAGTGCTGGCAATACGTTGCATCACGCCGGTTTGTGTGCTACTACGCTGAACAAATTTGTTACCATGTCAAGGGCTGTTTGCTGAAATGCTGAACTTGAATGGCTCATGTCCAGGCACCATCTTAGTAGGTTGCCTTCACAAACTGGTTCTGCGAACACGTCCGAGCACGCTCACGCGTGTACATACCCTTGTTCAAGTCTATGACCCTCCTGGATTCTCCGTGTTGCGTAAACAGGACTCAACATGTAAGTGGACTTAATGAGACCCAACGCATCCCAACAGTGCCACCAGGAATTACGCATTTTGAGACTGTTTGTTGGTGCTAGATGTGTTTATATTTGAAAATTTAACTGAGGTGAAACATGGTTGCGTGGTATGAGCGTAGACAATTACGTACAAAGTGGTCTGCAAATTGTTATGATAAATAAACAGTAATCGATTTCCTTTTAGGTAGTGATTGAGTAGGAATATCGTGGATCAAAATGATTGACAACCATTCACAACCTAATTGAGCAACTTTTACCTTCTCTACAACAAGCCCAGATCTCATCTGCCATCGAGAATTCCAGATCTCAGTGAAAATACTGGCGTTGCAGGGAATTTAAAGCCTAGTAACGCCAAGCCAAGCCAAGCCATCTGCCGAATTTTCAAGCCCAGTTCCTCCACTTTGCTTTACGCAGTTGTGCTGAAAACTGCCTCTTCCTAACATTCATATCACTTCTAAATCTCTGCTTTGTTTCATTCCCAACAAATACTCACTTATTATAAGCTTGAATTACTTAAATTAGCTCACTTGGAGTAGGAATCAACGCATCGACTTATGCGCTATAACCAGCAGAAAACTCGATTTTTGGAGTGTGGTGATTGGTCAGTTTCATTCAGTTCTAACCCACCTTGAAAATCATAGATAGGCGTTCTCAATTCCTTATTGACAATGTTTGTATTTCACACAGTTAACTAGACGTCTGGGTTTTCCCATCTCTGATCGAATTTCACACAACGCTCAAGACGCATGCATCTTCCACCGAGAGCACATCGAGTTAAGCTGAAAGTGAAGTGAATGGTATAATGATCATGCTTACCTTGCATACACGTATTCTCTGCATACTGACTCGTCCCTGACATGAAAGTATGCATCTTCACAGAACACCCGGACGTCACAAAACCGCTGTACGAAGCATTTCTACTATGAATAGACAGGAAGAACATGTGCGAGTGCGCGCGTATAACATTGGATTCCGATACTTAATGCTTCGATTTTAAGCATAACTTAATGAGTTGTTTACATTTTAGCAATTGCGGCCATGTTATAAATGAATTTTAGTATTTGAGTGCCACAAACCCGCACACCAGCACATGTATGGAATGTAATTTACCTGAGATTTCTACTTACTAGAGGTGCAGATGGAGGCGCTGCCAGTCTGATCGATCACTAAGCAAGGAGAACAAATTCGTCTTGCCTTATTGGGAGCTAAACACAAGACTTCATTGTAATTTGAAGCTCCTTAAAGTGTTAGAGCTGGCATACCTCTGAACCAACAGAATGTCGCTAGAAGATGCGCTGGAGCTTGTTGGAATGCGTCCGAAAAACGTGGTTGACTGTTCCAGGAGGTCAGCTCCGAAATGGTGTCCATCGGTGGGAGAACACAGGAGTACCCGGTACAAACTGGCAAGGCTGGTGAAGAAATCGATGGCGATCCTGTGCAGACTTATCGAATCCACGGCTCACGGGTACCAATGTTAGGTCGCTGAGTCTATTCTGGCTAAGTAGAGCCAGGTTCAACAATATATTCTGACAAATGGAGGCCATATTATCGGCGGCATAATCAATCTCTCAAAATGAAAGTGCAAATACTCGCGTAATTGAAAGGGCCTTGGTTGGAGAGAAGATCGAAATTTCGAGAAAACACGGAATTTCAAAGCAGTTACTTAAGGACACGTGGATGAACACTGTTGGTGCGTTATGATTGGAGATTGTGGCCACGTCG